TGGCCCTACGAGCAAACCAGAAGTTCAGGAATGGACTTCCGGTTTCCTCGGAGGGTTGTTTTGAGCGCTCCGAAGGCTTCAGGGACCTTCAGGAGGCTTCCCTGAAATCTTCGGAGCAGTCAAAACGACCCTCCAAGCAAAGCAGAAGTACGTTCCTGAACTTCTGGTTTGCCCGTAGGGCTGTTTTTTTGCACTCCGGAGGCTTCAGGGAAGATCATGAAGCCTCCAAGGGAGGGCGGGGGGGGGTATTTTCTCCCTCCCCAGGCTCCTATAAAGCCTCTGGAGCCTGGGGAGAGCGAAAAATGGCTTTAAAAAAGGGTGAACTTAGCTGGCCAGTGCACACATGCACGCTGGCCAGCTGACAGGGCAGCATCTCGCGTGCCGTGACAAATGGCTCTGTGTGCCACCTGTGGCATGCGTGCCATAGGTTCGCCATCACTGGCATAGAGCATGTTGTAGATCAAGGAATAATATAACAGCATTTTATTTTAAAGGAAAACTATCATTTCTGTTGTGCTCTCATATTCATATATATGGTTTGTTTTCATTGGCATAGCCTATTTCCTGCTATAAGAATTCTACAAAGCAAACTGTAGATTTTCTAACTTTTTAGGTGAGCTGCTCGTTAATGTTATTTTTCACTCTTGGCAGCATATAGATCAGATAATAAGTACTCATGGGAAACAGATCATGCAAGCAGTAACTCTCATCCTGGAAGGAGAACACAACGTGGAAGTCAAAGAACAGGTATTGTGCTTTAATGTATTAATAGAGACAACAAGTTTAGACATGAACAAAAATAAAACACCAAACACTAAATTCTTCAGGAAGAAAATTCAAATACTTTTACTAAGTATACAAACAGTATAAGGCTGTTTGCGTGCAATATTTCTTGTCCGTGCAATATTTTCTACGTATAAAAGTCTTCATAGTTTTATTTTCTTACCCTGTATTGCTTATGGAAGTCTACTTGTCAAGTTGCCATGAAACATTGCCATTTAGAATTAGATTTTTGTTGTTATTTCAATATATTTCTGTTCCTCCTTTCCTTCAGACATTATGTATACTTGCCAACATAGCAGATGGAACTACAGCTAAAGAATTCATCATGACAAATGATGATATCTTACAAAAAATTAAGTATTACATGGTATGTAATTAAAGTTTTTGTGTAATTAAATTTTGGGAAAAGATTAGAGCTCAGGGATTTTCAGCATTTGGTAGAAATCTCTATATTAAGTGCAGTACTGTTTGTTGCTCTAATTTTCTTGAATACAATATTTTTTCTTTTTTAAATATTTTTTCAACTTTGCTTTCATCGAAGAAAAGCAGACAATTTTTATATCATTATTGTGAGTAATAATTTGGAGGCAAGAAACCTAGATTACATAAAGGTTAAGAAAGAAATGTAAATTTTTATTTGAGTCAAGCTTGGTTCCTGACATATGTTTCTTGGCAACAATATGGAACTGGTTTGTCATTGACTTCTGCCAGAATGTGCTTGCTGTTAGCTTTGTCTTTATAATCAAGGCTGTAGCTTCTTTTTTAAGTATTAACTAAATCAGCAGGGTAACCAAGAAAGCAGTAGTAAACTAGATCCATACTTTTGCCAATAACATCACGTGGTTCTATGAAGTTAAAAGGAGTCAGATTCAAAAGGATTTGATTTTACTAAGGAATAATTTAAAATATTTCTGTCTAAATGTATTTTGTCTCCTTAGAGCCACTCGAATGCTAAACTTCAACTGGCTGCCATGTTTTGTGTATCTAATCTTATATGGAATGAAGAAGAAGGTAAGAAGATATACTCAGGGGATTTCTCTTCTGAAATACTTAATTTAAAAATGAAATTGCATTTAGCAGTTGGGCATTTTTATCCTGGATGGGGAAAATCACTACAGGGAAAAAAAGACAGAAAGTGAATATGCTATTTGATTCCTTTTGGTGAAAAGAATGTCACCTGGAAAAAAAAGAAAAGAGCAGTTTCTAATGGGTGAAATTTGAATTATGTTGGCATTTTTGTCAGGAGCTGAAATAGGAAAAGACAAATTCATGACTTTGGGCAGATCAAAAAATGGAGTAGCCATAAATGTGAAAAAGCATACCATAATAATCAGAAATACAAATTAAAGATAAGAAAGGTTGATTCATAATACTGTATTTTAGACTGAATTGAGGAATGTAACTAACTGTTGGTTCAATTTATGCTCTAATAGATAAAATTCTATAATTCCCCAACTGAATTTATAAAAGTTGAACTTTAATACAAAAAATATTTTGAAAGGGGCAGTAAATCAACCAAATTGTTAATTTAGCAATTAAGGAAGGAATCAAATAAAACAATTACTTCTATTTGGGATAGAATTAAATATATGAAATTATATAACAAATAGGAATATAACCCAGAAAAAAATTGAAGAATATCTTAAACATTTACAGAATTTTAAAAAAGTATTTTTTCCCAGAAGATAGTTGAAAAGTCAATTTATAAAATGAATTTGAGTAAAGCTCCAGGAACTGATATTTTCTGCAGTTATTTTTTTTAAAAAATATAAATTATAATTTTGTTTTAAGTTTTAAAAAATTTTCAAGAAATTTTGACTAAACCATTAACTCATGCTTCAAACACATGAAAAGGCTTTACTTCTTTAATCTGAAAAGTAGGAAAAGATTCAACTTATCCTGAATAATATGAACCTATATTCTATTGAATGAAGATTACAAACGTTTGTGGGAATCCTTAATATCAGATTAAATGGCTTTCTAGCAGATATTATAAAGCCTTATCAAAGGAGCTGTATGATAAATAAAAATAATAATATCCATATCTTAAAAGTTAATGACAAGATCAGAAAAACTTTAAAAATGGCTATGATTTTTCTTGTGTTGGAAGAATATTTGATAATTTGGGTTGGTCTATGTTTACAGTTCTGAAAAAAAATAAGTTATGTTCCTAATTTTTTTCACATGGACACAGAGTACTTTATACAGAATGAAAAGCCAGAATTATGGGGAATAGGTATTTTTTCCCCATTTCTATCAAGCAAGTTGTCACCACTTTTCTTCTCTTTATTTTTATTTGTTTTTTTTTAATTACCTTTATACATATGGCTTAATGGGGCGCAGTGGTTTAGCAGTTAGAAACACTGAGATTATCAGATGGAAAGCTGACAGCCCATGTTTAAGACCCGAGAGATGATGCATCACTAATGATGCATAAGAATATATTACTTTTATTTCAAATTTGTTTGCATATCTACTTACATATCATTATCAAAACCAGATTCTTTTCTTTGTATTATCTATTTCTTATATTATTTCAAAAGTATATAAAATGGAGAAGACATGGGCAGAGTTTGCACTAAGAAGGATAGGATTTTGAGTTGGGCCATACTTTGACTTTTCTTTTGACCCCAGGAAAAAATTTAATTAAAAATAAAATTATTTTTCAAATGATAATATCAATAATTATCAGTTAATAAACCATTAAACAAAAGAATAGAAAATTTAATTTATATACTGTAATTTAGAATGGAAATGCTTTTTAGTAAGATAAAAGCATAACTTCTTTGGTTACTATGCCAATTCAACTATCATAAAAGTAATAGAAAATAGATTATTGACCAGTAGTTCCACCACAACATAATTTATGGATTGCTGAAGAATTGGGTTCCCCCCCCNATATCTTAAACATTTACAGAATTTTAAAAAAGTATTTTTTCCCAGAAGATAGTTGAAAAGTCAATTTATAAAATGAATTTGAGTAAAGCTCCAGGAACTGATATTTTCTGCAGTTATTTTTTTAAAAAAAATATAAATTATAATTTTGTTTTAAGTTTTAAAAAATTTTCAAGAAATTTTGACTAAACCATTAACTCATGCTTCAAACACATGAAAAGGCTTTACTTCTTTAATCTGAAAAGTAGGAAAAGATTCAACTTATCCTGAATAATATGAACCTATATTCTATTGAATGAAGATTACAAACGTTTGTGGGAATCCTTAATATCAGATTAAATGGCTTTCTAGCAGATATTATAAAGCCTTATCAAAGGAGCTGTATGATAAATAAAAATAATAATATCCATATCTTAAAAGTTAATGACAAGATCAGAAAAACTTTAAAAATGGCTATGATTTTTCTTGTGTTGGAAGAATATTTGATAATTTGGGTTGGTCTATGTTTACAGTTCTGAAAAAAAATAAGTTATGTTCCTAATTTTTTTCACATGGACACAGAGTACTTTATACAGAATGAAAAGCCAGAATTATGGGGAATAGGTATTTTTTCCCCATTTCTATCAAGCAAGTTGTCACCACTTTTCTTCTCTTTATTTTTATTTGTTTTTTTTTAATTACCTTTATACATATGGCTTAATGGGGCGCAGTGGTTTAGCAGTTAGAAACACTGAGATTATCAGATGGAAAGCTGACAGCCCATGTTTAAGACCCGAGAGATGATGCATCACTAATGATGCATAAGAATATATTACTTTTATTTCAAATTTGTTTGCATATCTACTTACATATCATTATCAAAACCAGATTCTTTTCTTTGTATTATCTATTTCTTATATTATTTCAAAAGTATATAAAATGGAGAAGACATGGGCAGAGTTTGCACTAAGAAGGATAGGATTTTGAGTTGGGCCATACTTTGACTTTTCTTTTGACCCCAGGAAAAAATTTAATTAAAAATAAAATTATTTTTCAAATGATAATATCAATAATTATCAGTTAATAAACCATTAAACAAAAGAATAGAAAATTTAATTTATATACTGTAATTTAGAATGGAAATGCTTTTTAGTAAGATAAAAGCATAACTTCTTTGGTTACTATGCCAATTCAACTATCATAAAAGTAATAGAAAATAGATTATTGACCAGTAGTTCCACCACAACATAATTTATGGATTGCTGAAGAATTGGGTTCCCCCCCCCATTTTTTCTAAGGTAAGAGATAATGTATCAGAACTTATCTTTGATTAAAACAAAAGATAAATTGATTGGCCTTTACTGATAAAGGGAGAATCAGCTGTTTGGTGTCTGTCCCGTCTTTAAATCCATCTACTTCTCTAAACATTGGATAACATACTGTTGAGTAGTTTGGCCTAAGGCTGCTGTTAATGAATGCCAGATCTGTTTGAAATAAGATTGTGATTCTTCACTACTTGATTGTGTAGAAAAAAAAGCAGAGCTAGTATGTGTGACCAATACCTGGCAAGGTGAGAAAGGCTTATCTGAAATTGCCCATATGCATTTTAGGTGTTTCTGCAGGTTTTTACATTGGATTGCGTATTGTGTTGCCACTGTTTAATCAGACTGACATAAAATGCATCAAATTACCAATATGCAATTATTTTATATTAGGTTCCCAAGATCGTCAGGATAAACTCAGAGATATTGGAATAGTAGATATTCTACATAAACTGTGTCAGTCGTCAGATCCAAATCTTTGTGAAAAGTAAGTAAACAGAACTTCCAAAATCAAATTGAATTGGATTGATCACTTTGTAATTAGATTTTTCTACACACTGTATATTGATTTGAATTATATATGTGTTATGTTTCTCCTTGTATTTTTTTTTACCCCGGCAAACCAGAATTGCCCCAATTTTTTAGGATGGCTTAGTGTTTATAAGTGAAATCTCCTATGCTTGATTTGTTTATGTTATCCAAGGCAACAATAATATATCATAATGAACCAGTTGTCAAGATTTAAAAAATTTAGATAACAATGAAAAACTATTTCACAGGCTCATAGTGACAACTTGACCCTTGCACCTGAGAACATATCTCTCTCTTCAGGAACTTCAGGCTGGCAAGGTTAGGGTAATCTAATATCTGGGGCAAGAGTGTTCCAAAGAGCAGAACAAAAAGGCTAACTTTGGGGGTCCTACAAGATGGCACATCTTAATTGAGGGGTCTCATATAATGCTTTTTCTGCCAGGTCTGATGGTATGATTGGAGAAAGACAATTCCACAAATATCCTAATAAATGCCCCATGGCACGAATGGCTTTGTAGTGACCACCAGCATTTGAATTGCACCTAGAAATATATTGATAGCCAAAGCAGCTCATGGAGGAGAGGTGTAAATGAGCGTAAATTGGGGGTTGTTCATAATTGACTGCACAAGTGTATTTTAAATGAATTGCAGCTTTTGGATGTTCTTCAAAAGCAGCCCCATGTAAAGATCATGATGGACTTCACTTAAAAGGCAAGCAAAAGTCTACATTTGTAGAGATATCCCATTTAATATCTTCCCTCCCCAATTATTATATCTGACTGAAATATTCTTGTGTTTTCACATGCTACTCATTTCAATCAGTTTCAGTCCAGGATACTTTTAATTTCTCAAAGTTGTAAAATGCATACACACTTACGTGAAAGCTGCTTGATAAATTATAAATAAAAAAGGAATAGGCTGATTCTAAGTGCAAAGAACTGTGTAGTAAAATTGAGAGCAGATTGGCTTTTGCATTTTTAGTTACTGAACTTCATGTACCCGATTATCAGCGCTGTAGTTTATTCCTTGCATGGTAGTATTTCTAAAATCCCCATTTATGTATATCCTCTAAAATTAAAAAAATGTTTTTCCTTGCAGGGCGAAAACAGCACTCCAGCAGTATCTTGAGTGATGAAAGAGAAGTTGAACTTTCATATAATTTTCAGAGCTATATACTAAGGAATAACGGGAAATAGCTGCACCTAATTTCCTTACCTTTTGCACAAGGCACCTTGGGCTGCATTTGTCTCAGGTGCAGGGAGCTGCTTAGCAGGAGCAGTTTAAGTGATCAGGTCTCCAATGCACTTGAGGACTTTATTGAGGTGGTTCCTCTATTCAGATATCTATTCTGGGATATTTTTGTCTGAACTACCTGAACTCTACTAGAACAATCAGTAGTCTTTTTTTCTTTGGGCCTACAATATTCTGCTTATACCACAGCTGATGTAAGGCTGTGTCTGGGTGGGTGTGATACCTCAGAGCTTTTTCTTTTTCTCCCCCCTCCTCCCCCCGTGTGTGTATGTATGTGTGATTTTTTTCTACAGATTTTCAAGAGTGAACCATTGTTTGCTGTATGAAAACTTAAAAAAATTATATACAATTTGAATTGAAATGTTATTTAATAACA